GGTCGGTCCAACCCCAAGACGTCGGCTGAGGCGACATTAAAATGTTAAATAAAAACAGTAACAAAATACACACAAAAACAAACCGAAGACAGCGGCTCAGAAGAATCCCACCCCCTCCAGCTCCATCAACCCCGTTTGGCAACTTACACGAGGAATTTAATGACAACACTAAAAAGTTTAAGCGTTATTATTTCTAGGGGAGATATCCCCGCCACCCCCCGAAAATCAGCTCCAAGGATAAGAGCTTAGGCAACGCCAAGGCAAGGGATGATGAATCCGGCAGGATGAATGAATAAATGAATGGGAGAAAAAAAATACGATGGCTGTAAAATGGCAAATTCATGACCTGCAACTGCCGCACACCCCCATTCCTCGGTGTGTGTGTGTGTGTGTGTACATTCTAACGGCAACTAAAACTGAGCGGAGCTGAGCGCGATTGTAACGATTCGGTTATTACCATTATATTGCCGAAACAGCGCGCGCTCCTCCGTCCTCCGTCCTTCGCCCACCATCCCAACAATCCCCCAGCTCGGCAACAAACAAAGTCGAAACCCACATAACTCAATCTTCGACTGAGGTACCATCCCCCACCATGTAGATCCCACATCCGCGTGCTCTCTCCCCCTTTTTATTGCTAATGGCAAAGCGAAGGAATCTGGCGGGGGGCGGGGATGGCTGCTGCTGCAGTTTATGCGCCGCTGTTAAACTTACGGTAGTTTATCGCCGCAACAGCACAGCCAGCCCAACCAGCCCAGCCAGCGCATTCCATGGCTTAAAAACGAAACAATTTTTACAACTTTGTTGTTCGCCTGTGGCGACCTTCGCCATTTCTAGTTGTATACCGCCCCTTTCGGCATGGCCTGTAAAGTGAATGTAGTAATTTTTCAAAAATCTTTGTCTTTAATGGACCATCAACCGCTCTTTCGGCCTGTCCCTGCCCACCCCTGCCCTGCCCCTGTCCACCTTTTCCGGCAGATGGAAGCTGGCAACTTGGCTTTCTGGACCTTGGCTAGACTGAAGAGTTTGGCTGACACCGCCCATCGTCAATATTGCGATTCGGTGCTAAAAAATGCGTTTTAATGCTTCAATAAAATAAAAAGTTTGCATTAAAAGCAAGCAAGCCAGAAGCAAGAGGAGGAACGATTGTCAACGTGCAACTCCGGACGAAACTATTAGCGTAAAAAATACAAGATGGAGCTCACAAAAATGTCCGAACTACCTGGCGAGCCAATGTACGGGACTCTGAGGATTCTCCAAAAGTCCGACTTTTCTTGGTTATCCGTGCTTAAAAATTTAGTAACAACTTAAGTCTCATAGCCGGCGGAGGTGAACTATAGAATCATACTTTTAAGCACTTAAGTGACTCCACATTAGAATGGGAAAATTCGAACTGTCCAGGATTGGGCAGAAGTCGATTGGGAGGGCACTGGAGTACTGCAAGTCGCTGACATCGGCTCGTTTACCCTGCCGCCCCCTTCCAGCTTCCCGGGGAGCGGCTGGGCAATCGATGCGCATAATGCATTTGCGAGGCAAAATTAATGTTTAATCAACAAAGTGGCAATATCCCTTAGCCCCGCTACTGCCATCAGGCATGTGGAAAACTAGCGAAATTGCATCAAAGAAACGAAAATATTTGCAGTGCGTGGGCTGGGGAAAAAGCGAAATAAAAATGTATATCGGATAATGCAAACAGCAAATTAAAAACCAGCGCCATCACCGAGAGGGTCCCTTTTTCAGTCCGGGCGATGTCCGAGAGCCCCGCCCGGGTAATGCTGATGCCGTGTTTGGGCCCGCTAATTGAAAGCCACTGCCACCTTTGCGCTTTGCAGCCAAAGACAAATATTGGATGGACCGCGGCTTTATGCATATTTAAAATCAATTAAGTCAATAAATAATAAGGACAGCCTTAATACGATTGCATATGAACGAAACGCGGCAAATGCCTGAATGGCCACGCAGCACAAGTCAGGGGGGTGCAGGGGCATCGCAGGGGCGATCCGGGCGAGGTCAAGATACGGGTCCGAATCCGGCCGCTGCCTCTCGAATCCGATTTTGACGCGACACGCTTGAAGAGCTTTTCGCAGGCCACTTGGGAGCCACTTGGCCCGCACGGGTGCAAGTCCGGTGCACTCAACGATGAGTTGCAAATTGTTGCCGTTTATGAGCCGCCTGCAAGGGAGGCACACAAAGCGGTCGCTGAAGCACGCCAGCCGATGCACTCGCCCACGAAATCTGGACACAAAGCCCCATCCCTATGGCCAAGTGGAGCAAAGCAAGCCAGAGCGAAGCCAGCGATGCGAAATCAAATGAAAAAATCGGCTAAACGAGTTCCTGCCCCACTGAGCCAACCAAAAAGGAGGAAAGAAATGGCAAGGAAAGGAGCAAAAGGAGCTGAATGTGCAAAAGGAGCACCACGCCAATGTGACACACAAAAAGTGACTGCACTGGTGGCAAAAGCCAAAAGCAATCAGAGTACGTCGCTAGCCAAAAAGTATGCAACGATAGCGAAAGACAAGCAACAAACACGACTTCTCCACCCTTTACACACCGCCCCACACACGGAGGCAAACAGAGAGTTTCATTCATGACGACGAACTCGAAGCCCCAGTCCTCGACCCCATCTCCAGTCGACTGCCGCATGTCCTTGCCGGGGCCACGGCCAACATCCCATTCCACTCCCACTTTGCATCCGCATCCATATGTGTGTATCTTTTTGCTTTCGTTTTAGAAAACTCACAGCTCGCACGACACTCGAACCCGGCCAGACCAGACCGATCTCGCCAAAAAGAAACTGCAACGAATCAAGGACGAATTTTTTGGCAGTTTTTTTTGCTCCTCACACAGAGTGTGCCACATGTCCGAACCCACTAGCCAAACTCTTCTCGGTTTGGCTTTGTTTTCCGCCGACTCGACCCTGTGCGGCTGCTGTTGCTCCTTTTTGCGCACACGATGCACAGCGATTCTTTGGGGTTTTTTGTGCCGAGGCAGCACACGACTCGGTCTGCTCGGGTGGCTAAAAAGAAAGCATAACGAAGTCGACCCAAATACCAGTTACCAACTCCCACTGGCTCCACCACCACCATTCATAAAGTGCTACTGGTGGTGGAGCCCCCATTCGATACTCATTAGTGGAGCCCGCTGATACTGTACGGAGGTACTAAAAAGCAATGACAGCCGTAAGATGAGCTCAGTCCGAGATGAAGTCGATGGGAGACGGCAGATGGCAAATGGACTCTCGAACTCTTCTCCGACGGAAGAGCACTATCAATCTGTCACGGTGGATCCTGCCCCTCTCCCCTTCCCCCTGCCCCCTGCCCGAACCCATGGCCTCATGCATATGTGATGAGCCGGGGCAGCTGCGACATGCAAAGGAGCCCTGAATCCGCATCCGGATCCGGATACGGATCCAGGCTAAGCCGTATAGAACAAAAGCGCCAAAGGCGGAAAACAGCGAACACAAATCCCGGTTTGTAAGCCAATTTGCACTTAGGCTTATCTAATGTCGTATCATTTGTATAATGTGCTCTGTTTGGCCTGATACTTGATGTCTACTGTATGCAGTCAATATCTTCTCCCGATTCCGAGTTCGACCCCCTGACATACGCTCGTCCGCAAAGCCACACACTCTCCACCCGCCCACTCCTAACACTATGCATGTGTGTGTGGGCGTGTGCGCCTTATCCTGCGGGGTTCATTTCTAAGCTCATTTATGTTTATCACAAATGCGTGCCAAAGTGTGTCGTTATTCTTCCACCTCCACGTCTACTTCCCCCATCTCGCCGAGTTCCAACTTTCAGCCATCGTCGATGTTGTCGAAGTTGTTGGCGTGGCGCAAACAAAAACATTTCAAATATTCAAAAAAGGCACACACTCGCAACTCCCACCCACACCTTCTCAAGACCCATGAAGCTGCGAACTGGGTACTGGATACTGGAGGGCTGCAGGCTGAGAACTGTATTCAACTAGTCGGGACATGTACTGGCCATAGAAATTCATCTAACGGCTGTAACAGGTAATTGAACTTGGTTATATGGCTTTCGGAATGGCGCGCGCTGCAAATGGAAATGTAGAAATGCCAGAGTGTCGCGGATTCACAAGGTCGGGTAAATGGGAATGGAAATGGAATTGAATGACGCGCGCATCGTGTGCCAAATGTGACGTCCTCGGTTCAGAGCCTCCCTTCGCAGTCACAAGCAATGCGTGCGAACTATATTATGCGGGCATAAAAAGGATTTGCACAAGGAGCATGTGTGCTTGGCAGTGGCAGTAACAGGGGCGGGGCAAAGTCAATTCCAAGACAACATGCTACATGAAAATTGCAAATTGTGCGCCATAGTTAGGGGGAATGGAAAGGGAAGGGGCCAACTGTTGAACTGCTGAATAATTCATGGCCAACTGGAGATTTGTGCAGGGCATCGGCATCAACGGCAGCAGCATGATGATGACTGCTAAGCGCGTTTGATGCCGATTTGTAGCACGCATAACTGTAAATCGCCCAAAAGCCGGCGCAGAAACGCTGATGCCACTGGTGCTTAGATTGGCTGTAGGGGGTTGGAGAGTAGGGGGTAGAGTGTGTAGGAGGAGGGGCCATCATTTGACACTCTGGTCTATTTGCCACCCCGGCGATGTTCGAATTGTGTGTCAATGAAAACAAAACAAAAGTGAAATGCTCGAGGATAAAAAAAGCACAGCCATGCAGTTTACGCAAAAACAATGGCTCCCCTAACCGTTGTCTGCACTTGCACCGCGCTTTTCTTTTGCTTAACGCATACACAAAACGGATCCCACACGCTTCAGGAATTCGCGGACATTTGCTATCGCTACTGGACGCCTGGTGCCCAGGTCCCCACTCGTATGTGGGTGGTCCCCGCCTTTTCGTGGTGGGTGGTGCATGTTGGCCAAACTGTGGCTTGGTCTTATTGTTGTTGTTCGTGATTGTGTTAGGGACTTATTTCTTTTGTTGGCCCAGTCGGCAGCCGGCGCCAACAGGTGGCACTTACTTTTGGACACATGCAGGCAGCGTGCTGGACGAAACCACCGGCCACGACCACATCCACAGCCACAGCCCCATCCCAATCCACCCAGACTGAAGGACGTTCGACATGGCAACGCGTTTTTCTTTCCTTTTGGCGTGTAACTTTTTGTATGCACTCTGCCTGCTTCTTTTGGCGGCCGACTCCGCGCGTTTTCCACTGTTTCTTTTAACGGTGTCCACTCCACACCATCATCGGTGCCTCCCATTGCCACCCGGGACGTTGGACAAGGTATGGAGAACAGTCCGCGCGGGTCGGAAGCCTCTTTGGTGGTCAATATACGCTGTTCGCTAAGCCATTTGTCAATCGACCAAGACGTTGATTTAAAAATATTTATTTAGGTTAGGTATAAGGTTAAAGTAATCGCACTACGTGAGTTTTGTGGTTGGATGTAAAATGTCGTCGCATTTCTATGCTGCGTTGCGGAAGCTAGCGATATCGGTCATTTCCAGTGGCTTCCACTGGATGTCAACATGTTTGTGCACCCGCTCCTCCTCCTCGTCGCAGGATCCAGAGCAGTTTGACTTCTTATAATTATCAGCTGGGTCTGTGGTCGAGTTAGAGGCAATGGGTCAGGATCGGGGGCAATAAGTGGGGATAAGTATGTAAGCAGGACCTACCGTATTTATGGTCGTGGTTCTGATCGCAGGACTTCGGGCAGAAGACGATTTTCAGGTCAATGGGCTCGTACACCTTTACGATGAGCTGCGGCACCTTCTCGGTGGAATAGTCCGTGGGGGTGGAAACTAGTGGGTTGAACGAACGGTTAACTTGGTTCACTGGGTTGTTTAGCGCTCGTGCTGCGATGGTGGATATGGGTGTTATGTGAACGGTTTGGTTGCGGGACGCCAGCAACCAAGGCCTGCTGTTTACTGACAGCATTTCCCGGCGCACTGTGGCGGTTGCAGAAGGAACTTTTGCTGTTAATGTTGTGATTGTTTCTACTACGCTTGGAGTTGAAAGGGTTTTTGGTGTTGTCGGTGTGATTATTTCTAATTTACTTTGCGAGATTAACTTTGTTTTTGGCTTTTCTGCTTCTCTTACTGCTTGACTGGCTGTGAAAGTTCGTGGCATTCTTGTTGGTAGTGTCGTCAATGTTTCTGTGGATGTTGATGATAGTTTGGGAAAAGATGATTCAGTAGCTGTTTTTATTGAACTAGATGTTGGAGCTATTGTGGGTGGAACTGTTAGCCTCGAAGAGTGCCCAACTTTGTCATGAAAGGGTTTGGTTTGAACCCGACTGATTTCACCCTCAGTTCCTGGTAACCGCGTAAGAGAACTTCCAGTGGGAAACTTAATTGCCCTGCTTTCAAATTCTTTGAACTGTACTTTCGACTGCACATTATTCCTCGTTGCTATTTCATTTTCCATCGCCTGCTGTGACAGTGGGAGAAAAATGTGACGCTTGGCTGTGGCTGCTGGCGGACTTTTGACTACTATGCCTGTGCCCTGATCTTTTTTCGCGGCTTCAGAGAAGTCGATTGATTCATCTTCCATATAGTCATCGTCATCATAGTATTGCAGGCTTTGGTGAATCGAGTTTTTTGCTGGAAGCTGTACCCCCCCAGTCGGCGACTCTGTGGGTGATGGCGTACTCGTACTCTTAATTATTTCAGGCCTTGTGGTTGTACTCGTGCTTGAACTTGTAGTCGAGCTAGGACTTGATGTCTGAGAAGGAGCTGTTGTTGCCAATGGCTTCTTAGCTTCTGATCGAGTCAATCGCTCTTTCAGGAGGCTCAGCAAAAAACTCTTTCTTGCTTCCAGGTTCTTGACTTCGCCCGGAATCTGGTTCTCGGATTCGGGTTCAGCACTCGGCGCCTCATCGTTCCTATATTCAGAGTCCCCAGAGTTGTAATCCAAGTCGTCAGTCGTCGACTCCAACGGCTGAGCTGTAGTAGACGAAACTGCTTTCCCCTGGCTTGGTGAGGAACTGGTCTTATGACGCTCCTGCTCAGTAGTCGAGGACAGGACCGGGACCACCGCGGCCAGAGTTGTGGTGGACATGTCTTTTGGCTGGGTTTTCGCCAGCACTCTATTTTCTTCGTCGGAGTACTGCTCAGATGTCTCACTGTCGTAGTACTCAGAGTCATCCGACTCCTTCTTAGTTAGGTTTAAAGCCACGAGGGCTTTGGGTTGGATAGAGCGCTTCTGGGTGGAGGTCAGCTGCTGGATGGAGAGCCGCAGGGAGTGAGCGATGAAAGGCTTGGAGGTGGCAAGGTTGTGCCTGGCCATCTGAGCAAGGGTCACGCCGGGCGGACTCTGTCTGATAGCACGCTGACTGGGAGCATGCTCCCTGCTCGGTGGAGTGGTGGAGATTACGTGGAACAGCTTTCGCAGCAGATGAGCCGCAGCCAGCGTGGACATGGTTGGAGCCTTCACTGTCGTCTCCTGCCCTGATTCCCCTTCCGCGGAAGATGGTGCATCGTCCATGTAGTCTGGCTCATCCCGCCCTCTTAAAATATTCCTTCTTCCAGTTAATTCTTTGTTGTTTTGTGTGTGATTAAGCCTTTCTGGATTTTGTGGTGAATGTATTTGAAATTGTTTTTCTGGTTGGAGTTCTTGTGTGCATGCAGGATTTGTGTTTTTATCTGTAATTCAAGTGTGGATATTAGGTGTGCTGTGCCGCTTGTGTTCAGGGTTTTCAAAATGGATTAAAATCTGCTTTTGGACGAGTGACTTACCTGAGGTGGAGTCGGGATCGGGACAGTGCGGCCTAGTACTAGTGGTCAGCTCTGTCGTGGTGGAGTTTGGCGTAAGAATAGTTACGGAAGTGGTTTTCAGAGTGGTCGTTTCTGGTTGTTGTGTAGTTGTTGATTTCGGTGTCGTTGTTGTCGTCTTTGGACTAGTAATTTTTTTAGTAGTCGTAGTTACTGTAGAGCTGTTCAGAGTGGTCGTTTTTGGTTTTTGAGTAGTAGTTGTCACTGTTGAGATCCTCGGAGTCGTTGTTGTAGGTTTAGTGGTAGTAGGTTTTGGCTTTTGAGACGTCGTAGTTATTGTAGAGGTTGTCACAGTGGTCGTTATTGGTTTTTGAGTAGTTGTCACTGTAGGTTTTTTTGAACTCGTTGTTGATTTCTGTGTCGTTGTTGTCGTCTTTGGACTAGTAGTTTCTGGATTTTGAGTTGTTGTAGTTACTGTAGACGTCTTCAGAGTGGTCGTTATTGGTTTTTGAGAAGTAGTTGTCTCTGTTGGGATCTTCGGAGTCGTTGTTGTAGATTTAAGGGTAGTAGTTGTTGGCTTTTGAGAGGTCGTAGTTACTGTAGAAGTTATCAAAGTTATTGGTTTTTGAGTAGTTGTTGTCACTGTAGGTGCTTTTGAACTCGTTGTTGATTTCTGTGTCGTTGTTGTCGTTGTTGGACTAGTAGCTGTTGGCATTTGAGTAGTCGAAGTTACCGTAGAGGTTTTCAGAGTGCTTGTATTTGGTTGTTGCTTAGTAGTTGTTGCCTTCGGAGTCGTTCTTGGAGGTTTAAGGGTAGAAGTAGTGGGCTTTTGAGAGGACGTAGTTACTGTAGAGGGTGTCAGAGTGGTTGTAATTGGTTGTTGAGTAGTTGTTGTCACTGTAGGTGCTTTTGAACTCGTTGTTGATTTCTGTGTCGTAGTAGTTGTTGGCTCCTGAGTAGTCGTAGTTACTGTAGAGGTTTTAAGAGTGGTTGTTATTGGTTCTTGAGTAGTAGTTGTCACTGTTGAGATCTTCGGAGTCGTTTGTGTAGATTTATGGGTAGTATTCGTTGGCTTTTGAGAGGTCGTAGTTACTGTAGAAGTTGTCAGAGTAATTGGTTTTTGAGTAGTTGTTGTCACTGTAGGTGCTTTTGAACTCGTTGTTGATTTCTGTGTCGTTGTTGTCGTCTTTGGACTAGTAGTTGTTGGCTTTTGAGTAGTCGTAGTTACTGTAGAGGTTTTCAGAGTGGTCGTTATTGGTTGTTGTGTAGTTGTGGTCACTATAGGTGTTTTTGGATTCGTTGTTGATTTCTGAGTCGTGGTTGTCGATTTTGGGCTTTTAGTTGTTGGCTTTTGAGTAGTCGTAGTTACTGGAGAAGTTTTCAGTGTGGTCGTTATTGGTTGTTGGGTAGTAGTTGTCACTGTTGTTGTCTTCGGAGTCGTTGTTGTAGATTTAAGGGTACTTGTACTTGTTGTGTCCGTTTTTGGACTAGTAGTTGTTGATTTTGGACTGGTCGTTGTTACTGTAGAGGTTTTCAGAGTTGTTGGTTTTTCGGTAGTGGTTGTCACTGTAGTTGTTTTTGTAGGTTTAAGGGACGTAGTTACTGTAGATGTTTTTGAAGTCATTGTAGTTGGTTTTTGAGTTGTGGTATTATTTCGAGTTGTCGTTTTCGTCTGGGTAGTGGTTCTAGGCCTGATAGTTGTTAGTTTTTGAGTGGTAGTAGTTGGTTTTTTAGTAATTGTAGAAGGTTTAGAAGTACTTGTTATGGGTTTTTTTGTGGTTGTAGTAACAGTAGACCTTTTGTGAGAAGTCGTTCTTGGCTTTTGAGTAGTTGTTGACACTGTTGATGTTTTTGGAGTCGTCGTGGTAGGTTTTTCGGTACTTGTTTTAGGTTTATCAGTATTCCCTGTGGTAGTAGCTGTAGAGGATTTCTGAGTGGTATCTGTTACTGTAGTTTTGATCGATTTCGGAGTTGTACTTGGCGTCGAAAAGTGGGGACATGTAGAAATTATTGGTTTGGGCGTAGTTGTGCTAGTCGTAGTGGGCAAAATGACAATTTTTTGCGATAGGTGCAAGTCTCTTACAGCTGCTTTGAAATCCAGAGTCTCATCTTTAGCTGGTGCATAAGTGTATCTTTTATAATGATATTTGGTGGTATCCGTTAAAAGTTTACTCTTGATAGTTGTAGGTGCTGGTGTAGTGGGTATGATGACTATGTTCTCCGACAGCTTAAATCTGCGCGAGTCGTCATTTTTCTCAACCTCTAGCCTTTCCATTAACGGTTCTTTTTCAAGATGGTGAGAAGTGTGCCTATATGAGGGGTACGGGGGATACGTGGGGTATTCCGGATAAGCGGTGGGCTTCGAAGTTGTCGTGGTCGCTGGCGTGGTGGGCAGAATGACAATTTTTACTGAGGGTCTTTCGAATCCTTCCCCCAACTGTAGCTTTTCGGATTTAACATTAGGCTGCTGTTCCCTGGCACCCGTATCGTAATAGTCCTCTTCGAAGAGCGGTGCAGCTGGGTAGGGTGGATAATATGCCTGTGGGGCATTGAAGGGTAACGGAACAGGTCCAGGGACATAGTCCAAGCAGTCGACTTCACTGCGGGGACGACACAGCTTTCGCTCGAGGTCAAAGCTGTTGCTGCCGGGGCATTTAAAGCGCGTCTGCAGATAGGTACCGCTTTCCTGCAATCGACATGTGTAGTAGAGGGCGCAGTCTGTCGGCGAGCGGAAGGTGCCTTCTTCGGCGCACTCGGGGAACTTGATCTCGCAGTTCTGAGGGATGTAGCTGCCACTGTCCGAGATCTCCGTCGATGGGCACTGGTCGCCGGGCAGGCACTTGTGCTCCACCGGCGAGAAAATAGTGCTGTCGGGGCAGGCGAATAGCCAAGGCTGCGTCCGGTTTTTATCGCACCTGTAGTAAACCTTGCAGTCGTGGGGGTGCGGGAATCGACCCTCCTTCTGGCACTGTGGCAGCGTGAGGTCCGTTCTGTGCTGTGGAACGTGTTGCACGCAACGCCCACTGCTCGAGTTAAAACTCTGCGAAACAGGAAACTCAGTTAAGTTTTATCGGTTGGTGGGTTAAAGGTCGGCCAACACTTACCTCAAGGTTGCGGCACTTGCTAAAGATTACACAGTTGGGCTTACAGACGTAGTAATACTGCCGCTGATCAGGGTGGGGCTTTATGCCAATGTAGTTCCGAGAGCAACGATTATTCTTCAATAAAAAGTATTAAAAATATTGCGAAATTTAATACTAGTCTTTGTTTAGAACTCACTATAAGTTAGGTAACTGAGATTTTAGAACAATTAAAAGTGGAAGCTCAGTTTTGAATTTTTCTAAAATGCAATTATACAATTTTTTTTGTTTAACTAATTTTGCACAGGTAGTATTTTAATTTCCCTCAAAAGATTACAACACAGTGAAGAAGACATTTCGACACCAAAAAGTATTATTTTCTTGACAACCCCATAGCAAAATCGATAAATAATAAGTCATAATGAGTCAATATAGCAATTTGTAACTATTTTAAAATACGGAAATTTTGAAAATTGCACGAAAAACACCATTTAGATTAAACATATATGCTTTGTTATATAAACTACAGGCTGTCGAAATTTTCTTTCATTCTAGCTTGAAATTAAATAACGATTAAAATCAAGTTTCCAAAAAAAAAATTACTCATGGTAGGTTTATTCACTCACGTAATCGAACCGCACGGGATATCCACCGCCCGGGTAGGTCTTGTAGACGCCGTAGACGTTGTCGTAGTAAGCGCCTGGCGGATTGATCGCGAACGGTGGAGCCTGGTAACCATAACCGTAGGGCGGGTAGGCATAGTGCGACTGCCCGTAGTAGCCGACAGGCAGCATGGGCGGATATGCACTCGGCAGTTGGCGAACTGAGCGACTGGTCGCAATGGAGAGCAGGGCCAGCAGACCCATACACGTCGACCAGAGGCGGTGCGTCATGATGGCACTCTACTTCAGATGACTCTTAACTGACTGGAACTAATTTCTCGTCCTGATCCTGGGGTCATCTGATGTGGCGGACTTTGGAGGGCTGGTGCTTGTACCCTTGCTGTTTCGTGGAACCTTGGCTGAGAACGCAGTCAGCTCTGGAGTGGCAGTGATGGCTTACAGCGGGGCAGACGCGCTTAAAAGGTCGCTGGGTGCGCTCGCTTTCGAGAATGTTGCATAACTCGAATGCCGATTGACCGCCGCGTGATTTATGTACAGAGTCATTGGCTGCCGCGTGAAAGAGACCAAAACAACGCGGGCCCAATCTCGGCTAACGGTGGTGTGAGCAAATTGCAGAGCGCTCTTTCCACGTGCCAGCGCACCGGAAGAAACTCTCCGCCGGGGAGCGCCCTTATCACGGCCGCAACCGCGACCGCTCCAAGATGCATGACTAAATTGCACTTAGGGCACCGGAGAGCGACGTGCGCTTCCGCACCGGAGTTGGGTCGAAGATTTACCGCTCCCTCCATTCTCAACTTGCTTGAGTAATCTGTGATCTGCCGTTTAAGACGTGATCAATGGATATGGCCAATGCGGAACCGATACCTGCAACAATTTTAGCATAGCGCTATCTGCAGGCGCACGCAGCTTCGATCGACTGTCCCGAACATTATACCCAAGGTCATGTAACCAAAACCACTTTCGGCACTTTAAATATTTGTGGTATGTACGTACGTACCACGTACGGTGGGAGTTACGCATCCAAAAATTCTTCGCTCGTTGGTGCGTCATTCAACACGTTCGGCGCTCTGGGCGGATCACGTACCGTGCAGAAAAATAGCCTATGACACAATATCGAGAACGTTTCCCGCATGTAGGAGCCAGGAATGCTGGATTTTTTCTCTTCATATGAGAATAATATTGCATGCCTGTTTTCTGAGGCCAACTTTGGTCAGCTAAGCTACCGCAGAAAATGACACTTAAGAAAATATTTCGGTCATTGATTCCCACGGTCAAAGTGCACATTCGTGCTTATGTACGCACACCAGAATCAGTTGAGTACGGCACTTCGAAAATGTACTGTAAGGGCATGTTTCGTTTCGTTGGAAAGATTAAAATGTTTCGGTGAAGATGAAAAGGCATGTATTATTCTTCGTTTCGATTTTAGACATGATTTTTCAGTAAGCTTATGATTTCTTTGTGAGAAAATGACTCTGTTACGGACTGCATTTCCGGCTGTGGTCCTCAGATAAAAACAGCTATCAGCATGCTAAATTTGACTCCGACTCCAATCAGCTGTGTTGAGCTCCGCAAGACAACTCCCTATCTGGAGCACTGGGCTGCCTGCGCACTTAAGCTACGTGATAATCAAACGGGCGGAGATTCCCGTACTTCCATGGAACCCGAGCTATCTCCGTGTCATCGGTGTTGGACAAGCTCGTTGCAATCAATTGACGCCTGTTGATATGCCGCCGCGTCGACCTGAATTCTTTGGATTTAAACACGTCTTTAATTGAGATATCGATGGGCAATCATCTTAATAGAAAGCGATGAAAAAACATAATGATCTGCAAATACTGCAGAATAAGATATGTACTAGAGTGGTCGGTAAAAAGTCTACGATGGAATGTGCCAAAGACATGTTTAGAAGATTGCACGTAGAGAAATGTTTTCATGACACACAAGAGAGTAAAAGTTTCATTGATCATTTTGCGGCGTCGGTCGGCATTCAACGAGTTCTTCAAACTGCAGGTTAGAAACTAAACTACCGATCGAAACTTTCAAACCTTTTAAGCAAATTCAGATGCGAAACAGTTTGACAGCAATATAAATCATGTTACTGTCTCCACTGCCTCACTAATGATCGCGATCCGCGAAAGCGGAGTCCCACACCCAACCCCACACAAAGAGCTTTTAGCTGAAATGTAAACTACCAAAAAGCTTTAACAAAAACCAACTCAGCAATTCCACCAATTACGATCCTGGAAAGCGTCTCTTAAGCGAATAACTATTCCAAAAGGACGACACGCTTAAGAGAAACCCTGCTGGTGTCCCTTTTCCCACACATCAAAAAAAAGGAAAAATGGGCAAGCACAAAAGAGAAAAAGCTAAGAAAAGTTGGCTGACTGCAGAGGGGAGCAAGTAAAGTAGCAGCCAAAAAGACGAAAACTGATTTTTGGGGGGGCGGGAAATGTGGGGGAAATCCGGCGACCAAAATAAACAGTAGCAGAAGCGGCAGCGCAGCCAAGGCAAAGCTCAATAGCAACAAAAAAAGTAAAGGAAAAGTGAAGAAAAAATGGTGAAGAAAACGAGACGAAAAGAACGAACAGAACGAAAAGAGCCTGGCGTGCACTGGTATTGGTGCTGGTATTGGCGCCGCTGCCGCTGCCCGCGTCGCCGCTGGCGTCGACTGCTGCGTCGTCGTTATCGTGTGGGTGTGTGAGTGACTACGTAAGGCTTCGTCCCCATGTGGCCAAGACTTTCACTCTCATTCTGTCGTCTTCGTTTTTCCTTCAGCCAACGCCGTCGACGCCGAAAGCGACGTCAGGTTTTTCTCTCTGCTCTTATCGAGGAGATGGAAAATTGGGTGGCAGAGGGGTGGTGGAAGGGTGACCCATCAAAAAGTGCTCCCAAGAAAGCGCTAGAAAAAAGCATGTGAAAGTGCGCCAACTGACAAATTTCCACGGCATGAGGCATGTCGAAAAAAGAAGGCAACGTTTTCAAGGCTGCTGCCCCGCGACCAGGTCAAAGGTAACAAGTGGGAGCGGACGGGACTTCAGCAGCCGACCTTGAGCGCTTAGCCTGGACTTAACTGGTGGCAGACGTCATTCTCAGAATGGTTACACAAGTCCGTCCTAATTACACCAACAGCTGGCACACACTCGAGGCAAACCACCTGTAGCCAGTGTCCGGCGAAGGGTGGGTCCCCACATGGGCAGAGATTAGGGAGAACTCTCACAAAATGCTGGCAACGTCGCTGCCTCTGCCGGAGCTTTATCTTTTGTGCTATGTCTCTGCCAGAAGGATTTTCTCGCGTTTAGCTTTTCTTTTTGGTTTTTTCCCGGCGAGCTGTTTTCAACAGGTTGCAACAGGCTTCGAGTGAGTGCGTGCGAGGGGTGGGATGTCCTTGAGGCAGTCGTGCTTTAAGGCGACTTCATGCGGCTCCCAGTGACCTTGAGTGTCGGGCTAAGAGTTGCCATGGCAGCAGTCAAGTCACATGCTCCCCTTGTCTGGGGCAGTATTCCTGGAAACCAGACATGTGGGTGCGTGAGCTCGTGTCCTAGCTGGGGTTGTGAACGTCAATCCAACGAAGCCCCCTAACATGTCCTTCGGTTGGCAGCCTGTTGAGCATGTGTCACACTTAAGACGCCCCAGCTGCCCCGATTCGGTCTAGAACTGCTCGGATAGTGTCGAACCTATAGCTGGCCGATTAAGCGTGGCCTGATTTATGGCCCCTATCGGTCAGCCACGACCTGCGGTTGATGTGTGTATATCGCACTTAGGGCGGGGTCTGGTCGGGTCCTGCTGATAGGGCCCACTGTAAACCTGTTCGGGCCTGCGACTGCATTCCCCATTCCGAAGAGATGTCCATGGGCAGTCGAGCAGGATTTGAAAAAGCAACGCATTAGCAGAGACACGTCAAGCGATCCAGGGCGCTGGGCAAGGGGGCTACGATTGGCCAGTGTTGAATTGCAGCGACCTACATTGCAAGCAGCGAGGACTGAGAGCCAAGGCAGTATCAGGCTTACACAGTCGGGCTGAGTGGAGTTTTGCGAAAACTGCACTTTGAGATTTCAGTTTGAGTGGAAGCGTCAAGACTGTATTCGAGTCACACAGTCCCGAAGCCCCTTGCCCACTCCAAATGTGCCTGCAACGTGGCCAGGGCCTTGGAGTTGGACACATCTTACGCTCTGCAAGGCAATGGCAAACGCAGTACGACGCGGAACTAACAAAACTCGTTCCGCGAGCCTTTCCCTACCCCTGATTTGGCAAACTGGTTTCTGGCACCAGAGTAAGCATTTGATTGAAGTTCCAGTTGGCGAAATCGGCATAGGTGAAAGGTGGAGCAGCAGGGCTAAGCGCTACAGGGACCCCCCGGGAGACCACTTTGGGGAATTCACTGGCAGACAAAGTTTTCCACTTGAAAATCAAATTAAGTTCTCCTTCCCAAGCGATCAAATTGACTGAGAAATTGTTCAGAAAACAACCAAGCACACACACGCACTTCCAATAGTAGGACAACTAAGGTGCGACCTGAGTCCTTGTTCCGTGTGCTTTATTTCGCCAGCACCCTTGGGTGTTTATCATGTAAAACACCAAAAAAACATGTCAAATATGCATGACCTACAAATTATGCCAATGCGACACCCAGCACAAGTCCACATAACCGGAAATCTGGGATTACCAAAGCAGAGACAACAAAAAGACGTGGCCAAGGCTTCTCCCCCGCCAGTCGATCTAAGCGGAACCCTCAACCAAAACAGGGTGATGTCAAGATGCCCGGCAAAAATGTTGTGTGCTTCCCTCTCCACTACCGCATCCGTTGGCCAAGAACCCAGACAGAGACGGAGACAGAGACCAAGCCTTCTTGACCCGGCCCGGAGCGTGTCAATCACTCTGCGGTTGTATAGGCAATATGCTAGCATTCAAATTTAAAAAAAACACAACACAAAAACGAACAAGTTTATTAAATACGGTTAACGCCAACCATTGCTGTTCGGACCAGCTATTCCCTTCTGCAGACAAACGAAACCACGTCAAGGGAATTCATAATTACAAATTACACACATAATCATGGAAAGTCCAAAAGCCAGAGTAAGAAACAACCGCACACACACAACCCAAAAGGGGGAAATGGAAGCACGCTTAAGCAGCTTCCAGAAGAAAGCCCCTGCTTTCCTTGTCCTATGAATTTATTAGAAATTCAAGAGTGAAACCCTAGGATTTCTGCACACTCGACTCGCATAAGAAGCATAGCACGTCCTCGATTGACTGACCCACAAATGTGTTTAGCTTGTGGTGTCAGGAGATATCTGCCGAAGGTATGGGGCCGCTTTGTTGGAGTGGGCGGTGGTTCTTGAAACTTGGGGAGTGCGTGCTGTGGCAAACGATTTCACTTTTGGGCAACTTTGACAACGTGGATGATAGGGCTTGCTTTCGAGCTGCCAACTGGCCGACTCGCGTCCAGGTATCGTGTGAATTAATTAGCGAAAACTCCTTCAGGTCTTCCGCCCACCCACAACTGAGTTTCCGCCCCACCCAAATGAGGCGAGAGTTAACCCTAAAATGATTTGAACACTTTTATGCCACTTTTGCCCCTGTCCCGTGCATTACACCCTGCCAACTACCACATGAGTGAGCATAAGCATAAGGTCAGGCCACACCCTTCCTGACCTCCGATCCGGGTCCAAGTTTTATGGGGTGTCCGGTTGCCGGTTTCCGAACAAGAACAGGAAGCCAAGTCAAACGAAGGCGGCTGTCCGCAAATTAGCATTATATGCGTGCCTGTGTTCGGGGGTGAGGATTGGGGAGGAAAGCAGGAAAAAGAAAGGAAAGGAAAAGAGGGTGGGGTGGGGTGGGCAGCGATTAGACCCATCACAGGATTAGATGCGTATGGGACACAGGACAGAGAGCAGAAAGGGTTGCCGGGGTCAGAGGTTAAAAAGTTCTCACACACAATTACCCGATTCGATCTATCTCATGTGTGGAATGGATATGGCCCATAGCCCCCGCCCCATTCTAACCCATCCTATCGCAAGGGTTGTTAATACAGTTTTAAGTGATTTTATGATGAATTTCTGCCTTAAAACTCTAGCTTATTTGTACACACGCATAGCCGACATATCAACAACTTCATCATCATTAACACGAAACAGTTATGCGATTTGGCTCTAACTTGTCCTAGTCTGAGTTTGGGGGTTTGGTTTGGGTTTTAAGGAACGGGTTTTGGTGTGGGTTTGGGTCGTTGCGGGTTTCAGGCGAAAGTTTTTAGTGTGAACATTTCACAGCCATTTTATATGCGTACTTAAGTGGTTTGCCTCTTGGCGGCACTTCTAAACCATGCCCTCACCCCTTGCTGCTCTATTAGGCAGACACGCACATGTGTCATGTGTGTGTGTCTGCAAGAGTGTTGATTTTTGTGGCATTTAAGCCTTTTTGAACTTTGAACTTGTTGGTTGGCTGGCGGGATAATGGGTTGGTGGTTTTCTGGGATTGGTGCGCTTGTACGCTGGTAATTTTGTGAATTGTTTTACCATTTTGCCACCATTTGCTGCTTGTGCATGCTACGGGTTTTGGCGTTGGTGTGGAGCTGTGGCGAATCACTTAAAGCCATAACGCCAGGCTCCTAGTTTTCGTTTAGTGGCTGTCACTGTCCCATTTTTAGGGATGGGGGCTTGATTTTCAGTGCCTGAGTGCTTCTAAATTGATGGTTAACCAGCACCGTGATTGAAAACAAATGTAGGATAAGTTGGAAGGCTTTAGGCAGATGTCTTGAATTTTTGGCGTGCTTCTTAGTAGGAAGACGGTTGGCTCTAGTAAGCCATCATCTGGCAGTGGGAGTAATCATCTTTGAATTATCATTTAAATCATTGAATAATTTAAATTTGAATAGAGCTCAATTTGGCATTTATGTGGTATTCGACCGAAAAGGGGGTATGTTGAAGATTATGTTATGTGTCAAGGAACCTATTTAACTATGGGACTTTATTGATTGTATTTCATGAGTGATAATAGTAAATCACTGACCACTGATAGAAGATTTACAACCTGCAGAAAAAAGCGAGGCTGAGTACGTTGATCCCAATAAGCTTTTTTTCGGTGGAGGGGTGCACCGAGTGATCCAGGGTCTTCCCCCTCCACACATGCATGTGTATGTTCAGAGTCAGATTCCGTGTCCCAGCCAGTCTCCTTTAGTTGTACAGTCTTTTAAAGCTGCCAAGCTAGGGTCGCCAAGAGGCGAAGGATGGAGAAGGGGCGGGATGAAAGGAAGAGTGGGGCGGCGGTCTATGTAATACAAACGACAAAGAGCCCGAAGGAGCGTGACAGAAGCGAGGCAAGTCAGTCAGTGAGAGAGAGAAAATTTTTTTCGGGAATATATTTGTTTTTTTTTTTAATTTACTTAACCGCAGCAGCGGAGCTTGACGCCGATCGTTTCCTCTTTCTCTCGCTCGTCCAGGGCCTATAGTTTAAAATGTGCATGTACCCACACACGCACACACACAAACAAACCCAAAAAACAATCCGGACAAAGGCAGCGGCAGCGGAGCTTCTCTCTCCGGGCTACTTCCTAAATTTTGTGTGTTGCCCTCGATAGGTCGCTGAGCTGCGATCGTTATATATGCACTTACATGAGAGTGTTGGTGTGTTCTGGTGTGTGTGTTGTGTGAGTGATCGCTCAAGCATGCTTGTGTGTGCGCTGAGAAACCTCAAAAAAGAGTTGAATTGAAGCCGTTAACCTCGGCAGCGCGTTCGTCGCCCGAGTTTGTTTTTGGAAATTATTATTGCCTTGCTGCGCTGTATTCCACTCCCCCTTCCCTTCCCTGCCCCCTTCCTCCACCACCCTTACGATGGAGGGTCAAGGGGGTGGTAGGAGATAGAGTGAAATCATTTGCCAAAATGTTTCCTCGGTGGCGAGGGGCTGCAAACTACAAACACATGTGCGCCACCAGACTCCTGCAGTGGTGCAGTGATGGTGGTGTTTGTGCAATCGTGAGTGGCACTAAAAAATTACGCAAAATAAAAAAGCGGAGCTGCACTAAAACGAAAACAAAAACACGGGATCAAAAGACAAAAAGACAGCTAGCCAAAAAAGCAGAGAGAGGAGCGCACAAACCCGTTCGGGAAAGAAGATTTGTGAGTTTGCAATTTTTGGCACACACAAACGGGTTTCGATTCGTTTCTCTTCTTTTGGTTTCGTTTTCGGGCATGCAACAGCCCCTGCACCACAGGCATTGTTGAGAAATTTGCGCACAGCTTTCTATGGCAATGGCAATTTCAGTAGCTCGTCATGGGACAGTAGAAGCGGCAGGGGCGGCTGATGGGCCGGGGGATAGAGATACAGATACATATGGAGGAGAGCCCCTCGATATGCCTGCCCCTTCAATCATGTAAGATCGATGGGGAGCGGGTGCCGTGGTGTGCGTGCATTCTTCAGGTTTTGTGGCTGCTGGGAGTCCGTAGAAAGTTTTTGTGCTTTGTGCGCCGATCAAAGGGCAGGGGCGGTGACAACCAACTTGGGCAAAGAGGAGTGAGATTGGTATTTGTCGACGATTTCTCTTTTCGCCTGGATGCAACTGTGATCGTGGCAATGCGATCCCTTAGATGACGAACAGCAACGCTTCCAGTGGCAATCACAGGGGCAGTTGCATTTCACCTGCCTAACGCAATAAATTAAAATTGTTTGTGTTATTTTTTTTGTGGCCCCAGCATTTTTCATTAAGAGCTGGGTAAACATGTTAAAAAAAAAAAAAAACAAGGATAAATCGACGCAACCACAAAAAAGAGAGCACATTGGACTGAGTTGGGGCGTAGTCGTGGGCGTGGCTGACATGGCATGTGAGGAGCTTTGTCCAGCGCATAACCATCCAACTCCCACGTCCAATCGCCCACCATCCCACACCTCGCACACCAACTCACGCACGGGTCCAACGTTACATTATATTTTTAACATTTTAAAAATGGCTGCCTTTTTGCAACACACGCACACTCTATGGCGTATGTACTGCGATTTGTATGTGTGTGTGCATTCAGGCAATTTAAGCACATAAATATATATTGAATTGGAAAATGCACAAAAAGTTTCACAAAAATCAAAATAAATAACTGCGCGTAGGCATAACAATTTATTGTTTATAAAAAACACAAGCACACATACCAAAAAGAGAAAAAATAAGGCAAATAGACAGCCGAGTGTCGGGCAAATTGCTGTACTTGTGTCGGCCAGCCGCGTTAAAGTTAATATAATCCAAAAGCATAGATAAATACCCAACCCACGACCAGTCAAAATTTCAGACAAGAGATTCGATGGCAGCTCTTTCGAATCCTTTGTGCGAACCAGCGCCCTTTCCCGCTAATTCCCAAAATCAGATGCGCACACACGTAGGCAGAGCTTGGGGTCAGATTGATGCAGCTAGCCAAAATACGCAATTTGCACAGTCCCCTTCTACCCACTTTGGTTCCCTGTTTTTTTCCTTCTGTGCGTCATTTTCATAATACGCACACATACAGCACTTGTATTGATGCATGTACCACGCGGCGTATGTGTAATTTGTCCGGCACCATCCTCCGATTCGACTATTCTCCCACTCGGCCCACTGTCGCCCAATGCAGCGCGCAGAAAACAAGCAAAACAAAAAGTGAAAACAACACAAAACAAGGCGAAAAAAAATGATGTCAGTGGAGAAAACGAGCAAAACAAACGAGCAAAAAGAGGAAAAATGAACCAAATAAATTGTATGTGTGTGCGTGCGTGTGCTTGTGCGTGTGATTAACAAAAATGCATTGGCCTTATGGCGGACAGTATATCCGGCCGGAACACCCACTCTCCTCCTCCACTCCTTTACTCCCTCGTCAGCTGCATTTGCACTTTATTTTTGTGCGTGCATCGCTCTGTTTGTGGGAGTATGCACGGCCATGTACTGAGTTTGGCGATTTTTTAATCGTTTTTATTCAACTTTTTTATTTTTTTGTGATGTGTTTTAATTTTTTGACTTTTTTGTTTTGTTTCCTTGCGAGTCCTTTTTGTACGTATATTATGTATTACCACACACACACACAGGCAGGCAGAGCAAAACATGTTGTTAATGGTAATGTGATATTTGGGCGCTGTTGCATTAACGTTATTTCGGGCCGCGACGTACATAGGCCACAGCCCATCTCCACCCCCAAATTCCCCCTCCACGGACCAGAGCTTATGTATTTTTTTCGAGACTTCTCCTTTTTTTTGGTGATTCGGTTGGGGGTAAAAAAATGTTTTTCACGCAATTTTCAGCCGCTGACGGCAATTTGGACATCAGCACTAACAAATATTGCCCAAAAAAGGTTGGTGGTGTGGGTGCAGAAAAGACTGATCTGCATTTCCTTACACAATTGAAGCGGCTAATAAAAACACAAATTGGAAGGACTAAAAAAAACCATAGATGTGAATAGCCCTTTACCTTCAAGAAAATTAGGCTGACCATACGTCCTTGCACCCACAATCGAAAAATTGCATAAGGCCTTAGCCAACGCAATCATATGAAAATCAATTATTGCTGAGAACTTCCAAATACTTGTTAGGCATTTTTTTTGTATTGATCAAATCTGTATTAAACAGGCGGAAAAATAAATTTTCTTGGCGCTGCTGAATTGAAACAATTTAACAAATATTTCCAATTGCAGACTGGTTTTTAATAAAACATAAAACTAATTTATTTTTACAACTGTTATACTTAAAACTTGGGTTCATTCCATAGTTAAATTTTGAATTGAATCGGATCAGACGGGGATGATCATGAAATATCCAGTATATTTGAATTAAACACAAGTCAAGTTAATAGACTACATTTTTCGGAAAAACTTTTTCTTGTGTACCTTATTTGACTCTCTAGCAAAGCTGCGTTTCCGTAGAGTCTTCGGTTTATTCTAAATTAAGGGTTTTTTAATATTGGGACATTTAGGTTAAGTACAAATAAAAAGGTTGGTATGCGTGTTGCTGATGCATTGCCAAACATTTGTTGGTAATAGTCCCGGCTAATTTTGTAATTTACAATAGAAGCCTAATGCGTTCATGCGCGTGTTTGTGTACATGGGAAGGTCTCTGATGGATCCATCCTTCCCTGGTCCCTAAGTCGGTGCTGCACGAAGCGCTCAACAGGTGGACAGCTTTGTGCCATCCTATGCCTTCTAGCTAGTAATTGCTAAACTAGATGGCAAACTATTGGAGGCATACACAGGAAGTGTGTGTGTATGTGTGCATACTCACACAGCTAGGCTAGCCCCCTTACACTGATGAACACCAGCGCCCGAAAACAGGCAGCTAAAAATGCTCAAACTGCAGCGCGTGTATATGTACATAGCAAACGCATAAATGTGCGGCTCTGTAAGCGCTCGTGTGTGCGACGTATTTTAGCGCATTTTTATATAATTTCCACTTAGTTGCCTCGCGCACATTTATTTATTTTGGTTGTTTTGTCCTCTTTTTTAATTCGCGCTGCCACACGCCACGACCTTGCCGCACCACACCCGCCTACTGCCAGCATTAACTTTGCTGCACTTATCCGCAGCGGCAGCAGCAGCGGCAGCGCTGCATTTGCAGTTGCATTTTGTAGTATTTTGCTTGCGAGTTCTATTTTTTTTTAGTTTTTTTTTCAAATTTTTTTTAGTATTTTTTTGCATTTCCAGCGCCGCACAAAAAACGCCCATAACTGGAATCGGCTCGCCGGACTGGCCGGACTGCAGGATGCATACGTATGCTTGCATCCTTTTTTCGGGGGTTGTTTTGTTCACGCACACACGCATTCGGCTGCATGTGCAACGCACGGAAAAGCATCGAGTGTATATTTAAAAAAAAAAATAGGGAAATGCAACGCTCTGCGCTCGTGTGCCCGTCCGTCGCTCGTTCGATCGTCGTTGACTTATTTTTTAATTTTATTGACAGTCGCAGTCGACGTCGGCGTCGCTGCCAGTGGGCGGGGGCTGATGTGGGGGCGAGGGCCGCCCACAAGTGCATTCAATGTCAGTGCATCGTGAGTCGGGCGTTGGCAGCCGGCCGGCTCGATGCGAGTAGGCCTAGTAGGGAGCTCGGGCTTTGGTTTTGTTTTGTGTTGCCTACTTTTTGTGCGCGTGCATTTCGACGCTCTTAGTCCTTTTTTGTTCTGCTTTGCTTTTTTCGGTTGCACTTTTTTGAGTTTTGTTGCTTTTTTTGCGTGTGTATGAGTGTTTGTTTTTTGTTTTTGGGCCTGTGTCCTGCATGCATGTGGTTGAAAATGCGTGTGCCAGAGTGAGTCAGATGCAGTGCAGCGATGGGGGTTTTTTTAAGCCTGCTCCTGTTTTGGGGTTTTGCTCGCCGCCAATGCATTTGTATCCTACCAGTTGAGAAGTTTCCCCGCCTCTCACACCGCTCGGGCTTTCCCTTTTTATACTTTTTGGCACTTTTCCATTATGTGCTTCGTTTTGCGTGACAGCGACTTTTTGATAGGCCTACACATGCGTCGCTTATTTTGGGGGGATTTGAAAGGTTTGCTTATGTGCAGCGTTGCAGCGAGGGCCAGCTGAAAACAAGGAGGCACAGGGGCGTCCAGGGGTACATGGAGTGCCTATGCCAACTGTCCGTTGCTGAGGACAAGGCTGGGCATGCAGTGCGTATACGCCAGTCTAGGCATAGCATCACATGTGTGTGTGTGATTGTTTTGCGAGTGTATGTACGTGGTGTCCTTAACTAAATAAATATAATGAGTTGAACCGTGGGACAAAAGCTGTCAAAGGGTTACGAATCTCAGAGAATGGATTGCATATTCGAGTAAGAACTGTACACTGTGTAAGCTTACAGTTAGTAAAGTTAAAAAATAACGAAAAGGTGTTTTTAGATCCAAAAACCGAAAAATCGAGATGATTTTTTCCGGATTTTGGCCATCAAAAATAATTCCAGGTTGATTTAGTCAAATCTATTTTCTGAGCGATTTTCTCATTTTTCATAAGTAACACTATGATTTATTACGAAAACTGGCCCAAAATAAAATTTTATAGCTGAGAATGGATGGGAAATTTTGCAACAAATTCGACAAGGATTATACCCTATTTTTTAAAGCAAATCAATTTTGAAAAAATTGAGGCGAGACGTGATTGACTTTCAAAGATATTAAGAGCGTTTGGGCAAAGACAGACAGGAATTTATAACTTGTGGTTCGGTTGCAACCGTTACATATCCTTTCCGAACCGCTGAATGCTCGTGCTAATCAATTCTTCTGAATTATTCGTTGCACTTGTCCCACTGCTCAGCTGAATCCCATAGGGGCTGAAATGGGTTCGGGGTTGGCTGGCTGTTAGCCAAAAATAAAAACAAAAAAGTACAATAAAAGCATCGAACTTTTTTCCCATTTGAAATTGCATTTTTGTATTTTTCTGTTTTTTTGCTTAAATATTTTATATAAATATCTACATGGATCCGCCGCTGCATTCCCGGCACGCACGATGCAGCAGCTCCTGATTGTGTCCGTGTGTGTGCGCTAATGGCAGTGCAACTGCAACTGGTGTTTGTGTATTATTTATATATAAGCGCATATAATATAAAAAGGCTGAGTATTCGCCGATTTCTTTAGTTTTTTTTAAATTTTATTTTTTTTGGTTTTTGCGAAGCCACGCAGCAGCGACGCCGACGTCGACGGAGGGTGCATATGCCGAAAAAGGACGAAAGCGTCGCTCATTTGCCACGCATCTGGTTGTGTGCATGTGTGTGCGTGGGGCGGGTGCGGAAGTGGGGCAGGCAAAGTGCACACATTTTTATAGGGTTTCGATTGCATTTAAAATTTTTTTTTTTCCTTTTTTTCGATTACATGTGTGTGTTGCCGTGTATTTGGATTACGCTTTGTAGCTCCTTCATAGCCCTCTCCCTTAGGCTCTCATCACCCTTCTTGCGACGTGCATTCAATGCCCAGTTTTTAGTTTTTTTTTTTTCTTTTTTTTGTTTTTTTTTTTTTTGCATGTGTGTATGTATATTTTTTTGTGAACGATTTTTGCAGTTTGTTTTGGGCAGATTTTTATTTTTCGGCGACCAGTCCCTGCTCGGTGGACAGAGACAGCAGCAGCGGGAGCGAGTGAGAGCGAGCTGCCAGGAGTAGGAGCAGCCGCTTAACCAGGTCCGGACGAAACTGAAGTAGGGGTAGTCGGCTCCGCTCAGGTCAGCCGTGTGCGCGTGTGTGTGTGGCCTGAGAACTGATGGCCGCGACGCTGGCTATGATGATGTTGGCTCATTACGAGCTGCCTGCATATTATGTGCAGGCCAGCGGTGCAGCGGCTCAGAACCGACTTTGCCGTTGGAGCATTGACAACTGCAGGCCGCCACACACACAACCGCCTGAGAGTGTTTATATGCAGACACATACACACAAAGAGGACGACAGCGCCAAATTCTGAAGCTTACGCCGGCGACGGCTGCGACAGCGACGCTGATTTCAAAAACACATTTTCTGGGCAACATTATTTTTCGTATAGTTCGGATCCATTTAGATGAACATCAGTTAGCTATCGGATTGGACGTGCGTCTTTCGACAGAGCCAACCAGCCCAACCAAACCAAGTCAGACCGACACCGACCAGCCCGAGCCTCAAGCCAGCCCAAGTGAAATTTAGTTGAGTTCAGTTTAGTTTCACCCAGTTAACCAGTTCAGTTTAAGTGAAGTCTGAAAGCCAGCAGAACACAGACCAGAGACCAGATACCAGGACACTCGATTCAGTGCAATGCCAGAAACAATTCGCCGCACCCCAAAGTGGAGCGAGCAACGTGAATCTATGACCAAGTCCGGCACCGCCCCGCCTTTTTTGTTCAAGTGCTAAGAAATAGTTTTTTTCAAGTGACCTAATCAAACGCTGGAAAGTGCTAACTGAAAACAATCAGAACGAAGATAAAAACCAATTCACAACAAACTGAGACCAAAGTGCGTGTGTGCAAGTTTAGCCCGTTGCAGCCACCCGCCACAGGACTCGCTCGCAGGAAACGCAAGAAGGTAGGTTCCCTCTCTATATAACCAACCACTAAGCCAGCAAGCTGCTTTCCCTCTGCGCTCCTTTTTGGCGTCACAAATTACAAAGTTATAACAACAAAGCAGGAGAATGCAAAACATTTACTTTATCATTTTTAACACTTGGCCACGTCGGGCAAAGCAAAAAAAGCGAGTCCGGCTCCTGCTTCCGTTTTTGCCCCTGCCAGCAGGGGATAAACGGATGCCGCCTCCAAAAAAAAGGCAGCCACCAAAACGGCGCTTAGCTTACGCTGGGTTGCCTCTCTCTGTCCAAAGCTCCCGCTCAACTCCCGCCCCCCCACACTCACGCCCATGTCCCCTGCAGCCACCACGAGGCTTAGAGATAGACATCCTTTCACGCACACATGCAAGCCGTGAGGGGTGCAACAAAAAATGCAAAAATGCAAACACAAAGTCAACAAAGTTTGCCTGCGACATGGTGGAGTAGCTAGGATGGGAAGGCTGCAGAGGGTTCTGAAAAGCGCAGCAAAGTGTCCAGAAGTCAATTGCCCAACAATCGCCAGGCTCACTCCCAACATCTAAATGTGCATCGTGTGCCCTTCGAGTCTGCAGGTCGGCGGCGGAAAGCGCAGGTACGATTATGTGAAAACCCAGAGCTGCTGTGAAAACCCAGAGGAGGCAACCACTAATGTCCCATTATTTAATTTCAATTTGCGCGGTGCGCTCTAAATCGCTGCAATAAATACATTGGTCGCGAATTTATTTCACTTAATCAAGTGCAGAGTGCTATGGGCCCTTTGCCATTTTTGCCGCCTATTTCCTGAACATAGTTGTATATCAAAGTAAACCTCTTGCAATAGATTTCGGGATCCCAACTCATTTGAACTTGAAGTATCTTGCCTCAACCTATATTTGAACTGTAGGTATTACTACACTACAACTGGCTCCGAAATAATAAATTGCCACGACCAAAACAAAAAGTCTTAAAACAAGAAAGGAAAGCTAACTTCGGGCGGAGCCGAAGTTGATATACCCTTGCAGAATATTTTATAAATTATATTGTCCAAAATTATTCATATGATGTATTCTTAATACTCATAAAATGTCCCAACTTCCTAACTTTAAAAACACCAAAGTTATGTCATTTCCAATCGTTCAGTTATATGGCAGCTATAAGATATAGTCGGCCGATCCTTATGAAATTTGGTAGGTCGGATTGATTAGCCAAAAATAAAACCCATAGAAAATCCCAACTTCCTAACTTTAAAAACACCAAAGTTATGGCTTTTCCGATCAATCAGTTATATGGCGGCTATAGGATATAGTCGTCCGATCCTTATGAAATTTGGTAGGTCGGATTGATTAGCCAAAAATAAAACCCATAGAAAATCCCAACTTCCTAACTTTAAAAACACCAAAGTTATGGCTTTTCCGATCGTTCAGTTATATGGCAGCTATATGATATAGTGGCCCGATCCGGCTCGTTCCGACTTATATACTACCTGCAATAGAAATACAACTTTTGGGAAAGTTTCAAGCAGATAGCTTTAAAACTGAGGGACTAGTTTGCGTAGAAACGGACGGACAGACGGACAGACGGACAGACGGACAGACGGACAGACGGACAGACGGACAGACGGACGGACAGACGGACGGACAGACGGACAGACGGACATGGCTAGATCGACTCTCCTGGTGATGCTGATCAAGAATATATATACTTTATAGGGTCGGAAATGTCTCCTTCACTGCGTTGCAAACTTTTGACTGAAATTATAATACCCTCTGCAAGGGTATAAAAATATTATCTCCAAACAATGATTTTTTAATTTATTTAAATTAATATAAAAAAAATATTTATAACTTACTATTTTTATGACTATCCAGTTGTATCTACACATTCATCATTCTTCTTAGTGAACATAAGATATAATGCAATGCACATACGTACGGAATGAGTGCAGTTGGTTTTCCGAAATTATGTATTTTTCTATCGAAATCAGATAATAAAAAAATGGCTGCTTCGACTATCAGTTACCAATTACTCTGTTATACAATTTAAATATAAATATTATATGTTTTTTTGAATTGAACGTCATTATCATGTTGTCTTTTCACCTTAATTTATAATCACTTCTGAAATAACGGTTTGGTTAAAACATTTTTATACCCTTGCAGAGGGTATTATAATTTTGGTCAAAAGTGTGCAACGCAGTGAAGGAGACATCTCCGACCCTATAAAGTATATATATTCTTGATCAGGATCACCTCCTGAGTTGATATAGCCATGTCCGTCTGTCCGTCTGTCTGTCCGTCTGTCTGTTTCTACGCGAACTAGTCTCTCAGTTTTAAAGATATCGAATTGAAACTTTGCACACACCCTTCTTTCCTTTGCACGCAGTATATAAGTCGGAACGGCCGGGATCGGCCGACTATATCCTATAGCTGCCATATAACTGATTGATCGGAAATGCCATAACTCTGCTGTTTGTTAAGTTAGGAAGTTGGGACTTTCTATGGGTTTTATATTTGCCCAATCAATTCGACGTACCAAATTTCATAAGGATCGACCGACTATATCCTATAGCTGCTATACAACTGATTGATCGGAAATGCCATAACTTTGGTGTTTGTTAAGTTAGGAAGTTGGGATTTTCTATGGGTTTTATTTTTGCCTAATCAATACCACATATCAAATTTCATAAGGATCGGCCGACTATATTCTATAGCTGTCATATAACTGAACGATTGGAAGTGCCATAACTTTGGTGTTTTTAAAGTTAGGAAGTTGGGATTTTTTATGAGTATTTAGAATGCATCATATGAATAATTTTGGAGAATATAATTTGCAGAATATTCTGCAAGGGTATTTCAACTTCGGCTCCGCCCGAAGTTAGCTTTCCTTTCTTGTTAGTGTGTCGATAGATAATATAAGCTTAAGAATTACCAGATTCTAGTGATGCTAGAGTTGATTTCGTATAATATACTATGTTAATCTGATCATCTAAAAACAAACAAATACAATCTTTTCTTTAAAATACATTTTTATAAACTTAATCAATTTATTATGTTTCATATAATCATTGGTTTCATTCAGGTCAACACAATCGTATCATGATAATCGATGATTAAGCAAAGAATATTCAAGCTACATTTAAGATCTTGGAGACAGGACAACATTTTATAAACTTAATAATTCGTTGACAATAATCAATTAATCTTGTGCAGGGTTTAAAGTAGAAGCACTTGTACAGTGCGAATTGTGTAAAATTTCACGTTTAACTTCGACTTTTGTGTAAGCACTCCCCTGTAACCACCGATTCCAGCCGATCCCCCCACAGCGATCGGTCGATTTCCAGTAAAAAATTCACGCGTTCTCTCAAATGGAGTCTAAATTTTTTTTCTTTTTTAGGCAAAGAGCAACCAGTTCAATGACCCAAAGAACAGAACACAGAACGATCGCGCACACACACAAGGCTGAATCCAAACAAAAGCTCAAAAACTGAGCGAACCAAAACAAAACAACTACGAATGCTGCACTAAAAGCCTCCAGATTCTTTATGTCTGCATGTGTGAGTGAACGATTGATCGAGGGAGGGGGAGAAGAGCGTTGCAGTTGCCAAAAAATGCGCAGAGGAGAACACATGCAAAGATGACGATGTTCGAGTAAAAGAATTTAAAAAAAACACGAAACCGATTTACGCATACTTATACAAAGATTCGAGAAATATAAAATAGCAAATTACTCATGTGAAAAGGGGTGGGGGTGTAAGAAGAAGGAAGGGAGCGAAAAGGCAAACTTGTAAAAGCCAGAATGTCGAAAAGGGGCAGAAGATCGTAGCGCTAAGAGGGTTCATCATGTGGATGGAGGAATGCAGCCGCCAGGATCAGCGTTACTGCAGCCCAGGACAAGTTTATTTTGGGGCTTAGAACAACTTATGTGCAGAAAGATCGACCGAGGTCTCGAAATTATTGCTCACTGCCGGAGCTCGACTAATTTCGGAGCACAGCCAACATATGGCGCTTCCAGTCAGTCGTGATTGCTGCTGGAGGATCGTCATTAAAGTAATTATCCGCCACTTGGAAGCCCAGCCTTGATAAGCTTCATTCGATGCCGTGCCATTAGAAGACAGGCATCGAAAAAGGGTTCCAGGTTCCAAGTCATCTCCGATCCCCTGTCAAAACTGCTCAAAAAGGTAGCAAGTTAACGGACAGCTATTTCGCTGCAAATGCAAAATAATGCAACGAACCTTGTATCCGGTTAGACTAGAATTTCGGGTATTAAATGACACAACAAACGGGCAAGGGAATGCCAAACTAAGCTGGCGAAACTGTTTTCATACAACGAATAAAACGCAGTATAAAACATATAGTATGTACCTCGATTGGTCCATGTATAACCACACATATATAGCCACTATATGTGCGCCGATGTCTGTGCCTATATAGCAAACGCCTACGAAAAAATGCGCAACTGCATAGGCCAGCGAGGGAAGCGGTGGCGGAGGGAAGTCTCACCAAGAACCAGAACGACACTTGTATGCCTTCTCGCAAACTGGCATACCTTGCCGTAGGATCGCATGTGTGTGTGTGCGACTTTTCAGTTTGTCCGCTCAAAAGTCAAAAAACAACAACGGCGAATTATGTGTGTGTTTTTTTTTGGCAGTCATTGACCCGAACAACGACTCGAACGAACGATCATGGCCAAGGCAGCGGCGGTGGCAGCGGCAGCAGCAGAGGCGGCGGCAGCGCAATGTAGAAAGATAGCAAACAAGTTAAACAGAGAGCAATAGTCGTACTTGTGTGTGTGGGTATGCACATGCACATATAGATTCGCATGCCGATGCCGTACTGGTGATCTCACTAAGCAGCGACTGCGGCATACGACGCTCTGCATTCTGCCTCCTCCTTCCACGTTCTCCGCATTTCACTCTCCCACTTTCTTCGGGGGAAGCTTTCCGGCTGTACAGGGTGTTTAGATGCGTCGGAGCATTGACTTGGCCCAAAGCAATGATTCACGACCC